TTCCTATTATTTTTCTTCTTATTTATTTCTTTTTTTCTTTCTTCCTGTCTTTCTTCTTCAGTAGCATGTCCACTTCCTTTACTTCCACTTCTTCTCCTTCTTCTTCTTATATTTTTAGTTGTATTATTTTTTATTTTATTCTGTCTTTTCCCTCGCGTCTAATACTTATTCTATCTTTTGTCTATTTCTTCTTTTTCTTCTTCTTATCCTTATTCTCATCCTCTTGGTCGTATTCCGTCGCTCACGTCTCTTCTTTCTCTTGAAAGCAAACGTTTCTTCCCTCCTCCTTCCATGTGTCATCCATTTCTTTGACTTGGTCGGACCATGTCCGGCTCCAAGAACTATTCGAGACTAGACGAAACGTACACGTCCTTCGTTTTATCTTTCTATCTCTCTCTCTCTCTTTCTATCTTTCTCTTTCTCATTGGCTATCTCGTGAATTCCCTACGGATTATTTTTACTCCAAAGACTTTTTCTTTCCTTCTCTTTATTTCTTTTTTTCTTTTTCTTTTTTTTTATTCTTTCGTTCGTTCGTTCGTTCGTTGGTTGGTTGGTTCGTTGGTTGGTTGGTTCGTTCGTTTTCGTACACTATCTTTATCATTTTGTCTCTTTTCATTTCTTTCTTCTATCTTCCTTTTTAAATGCAAGGATATTCGAGACTATTATTCAACGAAAGCGTGACGTTCTATCGTAGTAATTCTCCAGATTGAAGGAGACGTGTCGTTGCATGGAAGGAAAGGGTCGAAAACTACCCACCGAAAGTACCTACATTGTCTTTTTTACGTTGCTTTTTAATATAGTCCTTGGATTTGTATGTATATATATATGTGTGTGAGTGTGAGAGAGAGAGTTACCGTGGCGCCGTGAGACGCTTTGTTTGATACTAACAATGCGAATGCTTTTTTCTTGTCCTTCTTTTTTCTTGGCCCCCTTTTGCCTCTTTCTATCTTTCTATCTATCTATCTATCTATCTATTTTCCTTCCTTCCTTCCTTCCTTCCTTCCTTCCTGAAAATCACTAATCTTTCGTCCTTTTAACACCCAAGTTTTAATTTAAATGACTCTTTATTTTATTTCAATTTTTAATCCACGTAATTACATATATAAATTTTTAAAGAAATATATTACTAAGCAAGAAAATCAAATATTATAATCGTTTTTAGGTATGATTGATATGAATTATATGAGCCGTTTATTTTTAAAGTGGCATAAGTCACTTTTTCAAAAAAAAATCGAGTTAATGGCAACACTAATTACAACTGTATGGTATCTTTTCATTTTCAATTAAAAAAAAAAAAAGAAAAAAGGGACTTATGCCACTTTCAAAATAAACAGCTCATATATTTTTCATCTCTGATGGTAATATAAATGATGATTTTTTGTTACCTTTTAATAATCGCGATTATTTGTTATAAATCAGAATTAAACGAATAAAAATGAACTTCTTCTTATTTCAATGATTAACCTTTTAGATACTACGCGCCATTATAGTGGCTTTCGCGGATATCATTTTTCAGGACGACGCGCCACTGTAGTGGCTTTTCGTGGTTTTCTAGAAAAACGTTACGAAATTGTATAGTGTGTTTCAAAAACGATACAAGGCGAAGATCTCGTTATCAATGTGAAAATTGTGACGTAGGTTTATGTATTGTACCATGTTTCAAAATCTATCATAATCAATTATATTATTAGTTATTAAAGTGTAATGTTATAGTTAAATTTAATTATCAATATTCTTGTCCAAAACTTTGTTATTAATATATAAGTCTCAAAGGGAATTATAGACGGTTAATAAATCTAATGAACAATTTATTTTGAACTAGTTGTACGTTTCGTCCCTTACTGGGGACTTCATCGTATTTGATTACGTGTGATAAGATAAGGTGTTTTAGGATCAAATTGTATTGTAATATGTTAAGTTTTATTGAAATGTATGGACTCTGTAAAAAAGATAATATGTATTGACACGTGAACTATAAATGATCAAGTTGCTGATGAAGTCCCCAGTAAGGGACGAAACGTACAACTAGTTCAAAATAAATTGTTCATTAGATTTATTAACCGTCTATAATTCCCTTTGAGACTTATATGTTATAGTTAAAGTATGTGTAATATATATTTTTCAAAAATTATCACTTAATCATCAAATACTTCCATTTGAATGTTCTCGTGCATAGAACGGAATTGACCGCCACATTTTGCAGTGTTATATCAATTCTACGTTGTTCACGTCAGACCCTGCTGTCCAGGGAAATAGCCACACGCAGAATTCAGCCGTATCTAAAAGGTTAATTAGCCCTCGAGGAAGTTGTATTGATTGAATAAGAATTTAATTATCGATTGATTATACATGACATTTATTTTTCTGATTTTCTTTTTCTTTTTTCTTGTTGTTATAAGACCTTTCCTTGACGTAAAAACATTAACCCTTCTTTGCATGATTTTTTCTTTTCTTTTAAAATAAATCAGGGTGATGTAATTAATGCTGTAGATTAAAGGAAAAATATTTAAAAAAATCCTAGTGCTATTTTTTGACAACTGCRTTTTGTTGTACGCAATAGTCGCGCTTAAAAAGTTGCCAGCAACAACGAATATACAGTACAAGGGTTTTGAGTACCTTTTTTTATTGACTAAATATTATGATTGAAATTTCCATCATCATGCAAAGAAGGGTTAAAATTTGTAGTAGGACTGTAGTTTAGTACGTAATATGTGTGTAAAAGAGGAAATCCTCTATCCTGGGATTTCGAACGTGGCAAGAATGAATTTTCTCGTAGATGTTCTCTCCCCTTATATTTTTCTTCTTTTCTTTGGGTACATCCTAAATCGTCACCACTCTTCGGTGTCCTACCCTTTGGGATTTTCTCGTTAGGGACGATCATCCCGTTTAAACGCGTATCCACTCTCGAATTGAACAATCGATTGGTTCTCACTGATAGAAAAGATTTTTTTTTTCTTTCTTTTTTTGTTTTCTTTTACCCCATGCCCGATGTTTTATTTATCTTTTAAAATTCAGATACGAGAAATATTTGAACATTTAGGTGATATCGCGCGAGTGAAGCTTTCTATTAACAAAAACAAAAACTTCACAATATATTTGTAAAATGTTCTAAATTTATTTGTCATAATTATTATCATGTTTTTTTTTTTGTTTTACATTCCATTAATTTCCTTCGAATCGTTAGAAATAATTGATCATTCATTTAAATGTTAATTCGTGTGAAATATCAATTTTTTGATGGCCAATAAAAATTGTACAAAATGATCCATCCTACCCGTTACAAAAAAAAAAATGAGATAGAGAGAAAAAAGAATTGTGAATGTAAGAGAGAAAGAGAGAGAAAGAGAGAGAGAGAGAAAGAAAATGAATTAAAGGGAGAGCTAGAATATACACGACTCGGGTTTATTTGTTCTGGAACGAGTCCCTCGAAGAATATCAAACAGTGTCGAAATCAAAAACTACTGTAATTATGTTGGCACAACACGTAGATTAAAAGAATTTCTTGTGATCGATGAAGTATTACAAAATTCTTACGTGTATATCTATATAATACTACATAATATTTACATTTACAATAAACATTAGCATTTGCGTAAGTACATTAAAATAATTATTACTAAATACACGTATTTTCATCTAAACAAATTGGAATATTCAAAATAAAAGAATATAGACCAGAAAAACATTGGGCAAAGTAGAAATAAAAAAAGATACACGAAGAGAATAAAAAGATAATATGATAACTACAGGAAATGGGTAATTAGGGTTGTAACATCGCGAGAATCACAAATAAAATATATAATTATATATATAATTAATACTTAAAGGGACGAAACGTTCAACAAGGTCAAATAAATTGTTCATCAAATTTATTAACTGTCTTCAATTTCCCTTTGAAACTCATATATATTAATATACTGTTGGGACAAGAATATTGATAATCATTAATAATATTTTAAAAAGAAAAACAAAGATAAACTAAACTAAAAGAGCCAATGAAAAAAATTAATTGACGAATAGAAATATAAAAAATACAGAAAGTGAAAGATGATGCAGGAAGAAGAAGGTGGAAAAGGGGAGGTAAGGTGTGAGGTTATAGCATAGCGGGTAAGAAGAAAGGGGAGGGGTTGGTGTTGAAGGAGAAGGAGGAGGGGGAGGGGGATGTGAGAAGTCTCTCTCTCTCTCTCTCTTTCTCTCTCGAAATGCTTTGGTTCGAGGGCAAATCTAGTAAGCTAGGACAGAGTCTATTAATAAACGTTTGGGGTGCCCGTAGTACCTGGCCGGCGCGCTTGGTGCCGTCCGACGCGTCCCGCACGCGTCCCGCTTGCGTCCACAAACTCAGCAGATACGCGCGTCTCGACGGCCGGCGTCTCAGTGTCGTCGCGACGACCGACGTCGTACTCACATATTTTCACTGAGCGTGCTGCGGTGCTCCGTCCCCTATATTATTTTATTATTATTATATTTTTAATTATTACAACTTCCTGTGTAAAATATTCTTCAATCAATACGATATTGATTATTATATTGATACGGTTAAATCGAATACGAATATACTCTAATCGAATAGTCTCGTGCGCGCGTGGTACGTTTCTCTTATACTACTTTTTTTTTCATTTTATTATTATTGTTATTATTGTTGTTCCTCATTTTTATCGTTATTTCAATTTTTTAACATTTACGACTCTCTCTCTCTCTCTCTGTCTCTCTTTTTATTTATCTTACTATCTTCGTTCCACACGTACATATTTACATATTCATTTATGTGCCTGTGTGTGTGTGTGTATATGTAAGAAAAGCCAAAAAAAAAAAAAAAGAATTGGGATAGATCGATAGATCGATATTTACGTGTTACTCATAGGTGCATAAGAAGAACGGGGTTAATCGTACACCTCGTCGGTTAACCGAGCGATCTAAAAAAGATCCTCTGTGTGTGTGTGTGTGTGTGAGAGAAAGAGAAAAAGAGAGAGAGAGGGAGAGAGAGAGAGAAGACGTCGACGAAATTCGTGGCACGAAATCGTTTTTGAACCTCGGCTACTATCTTTCTCTTTCTTTCTCTCTCTCTCTCTGTTTTTCTGTTTTTCTTTCTCGTTGAATATCTAAACGTGCGCGTGCTATGCGAAATGGTAGTAGCCTAAGAGAGAAAGGAAGAGAGAGAGAGCGAGAGAGAGAGAGAAGAGAATTCATCAAGAACACGAGTGACCTTCCTATTAAGTGTAATTTTGCTGACCAACGCAACATATTTGTGAATATTTTCATTGTTTTAATGACTTATTGAAACATTTTTTTTTGTTCCCTTTATTTTGTGATTTAATTCGCATATTATTATCTTTCGTTAGATATTAAAAATCTAATCGATTTAATACAACCCTTCGTAAAACGCAACACACCACCCAACCCCCGTAAGAACTATGATAAAGAAACGAATGATTGGATCTTTTTTTTTTATTCTTTTTTGTGTCGAGTAACTTATGTGAAGAAGAAGAAGAAGAAGAAAACGAAGCAGAAGAAGAAGAAGAAGAATTTTTCTGACGACGTCGACGAGCATCGTCGTCGTCGTCGTCGTCGTCGTCGTCGTCACGAAGCTTCTTAATGTTTTTCGATTTTCCTTGCTGTCTGAAAATAACGACGTCGTATATAGTCACTCTCCTTCTCTCTCTCTCTCTCTCTCTCTCTCTCTCTCTCTCTATTTCTCTCGTTCTTTCTCTGTTTCTCTGTTCCTCTGTGCGAGTGTATATACGTCGTTGATGAGAGTTTGTGTATGTGTGTGTGTGTGTGTGTGAAAAAGAGAGAGAAAGAGAGAGAGAGAGAGAGAGAGAGAGAAAAGATCGCACGCGTGCACACATTGCTTTGCTCGACTTTCGAGCTTCTTAAAGGCTCGACCTCACGAGCATGCTTTTGCTGCCGTTTAACCGGTGACAAAGCAACATGAACACCGACGACACGATTCTCTTTTGGCTTCGTTAAATAAAAACAAATCGAGTTGCTCGAGTTGTCAAATTATCGGGGTTGCCCTGAAACTTCCCTACCGATTTTTACATTCTTTTGTTTGGTTTTCTATATACTCACATCAATTTTATTCTCGAAATTTACACGAATTTTTACATGCAATTTTAATATTTATTATGTTAGATGGTTTGTATGAGATTTGTGCCGCGCGCGATTTAGAAATAAATGTTCGGTAACTTAATATTTATTTTGTCTATTTTTGTTCATTTTAATATGATTTGATGAAGTTGTTGATATTAAACTTACATGCACACTTTATTCATTAACACACATTATTTATATATATGCATAGATGCACACATTATTTATATAAATATATATATATATGTAAATGTGTGCTATTTTCAATATGACAATAATAATAACAATAATAATAATGATTATTTGATTTTTGTAAATCGTGGCATCGGTGTACGCGACTCCTCATCATCGAATCCAATCATCAGTTAAAAATCAATCAACAGTTATTCGTTTGGTATATCGATAGTAATTGTCCAGATCTAAGAAAATTCGAGTCGATATTCGTTGATCGTTAAATCGTCCCTTTCGAGGACGTTAAAAACGTCGAGGGAAAGGAAAGGGACGGAAAGGGAAAGGGACGGAAGACGCGTTATTCCGGCCGCGAGTGTTTGACGCTCGCGTGTGCAGATGAGGCCACGATCGATCTGCGAAAGGGTGGCGGAGGAGTATCGCGACGAGGAGTATCGTCACGGGTACTACGAGAATCGGTGCTTCTGACAACCGGACGACCGGAGGGACAGACAGACGGTAGTGTGCCACAACAGTCGCGGTGCTTGCGAATACTCGATGGTTGGTGTCGTTGCTTCTACCATTTTTTCTTTTCTTTTCTTTTCTTTTCTTTCTTTTTTATCCCTTTCTTCTTTCCTTTTTATAGATTCATTATTTATTATTATTTTATTTTATTGTTACTTATCTTTATTTTCGAAGTTATACTTATTTTGGCGCGTTTAAGGAGAAATTATGATGAAAATGAGTTTTGTAAGATGCGTGCGCACAGCGACACGAAATTAACACGATGAAGTTAGCATCGGTATTTAAGATGCGCGCGCATACCGATATGAAATTAACAGCATGAAGTTAGTCGTGTCATACCGTCACGTGTACCGTGTATGTTTTATATACGCCAAAGTAGTATAACTTCTTACGTGCGTACATAAGTACACACACTCGTGTTTTTACTTTTATTACATTTTCTTATCTATTATATTTTATATGGTTTCATTTTTTTATTCATGCCTCCCAAACCCATTTTTAAATCCTTTCGATTTGTTCGATTGTAAGCTTCGCATCATCGATCTTGTTTTCCTTTGCGATACTTTCATCTTCATTTTGTTTTCTTTTTCTTTTTCCACCCTTCAAAATATTTTCTTTATATTTTTCTATTGGTACGCTTTCATCTTTATATATTTTCTTATTTTTCTCTACCACATTTCTCCCGCACGATTTGAATAAGCTTGCACCACACTTGAATTCTATCTATCGATAAAACCTAACCTCTATCGATCAATCCTGCGCGGGAAATTCAAATTCAACGACGGTACTTGAACTATGGTAGAACTTTTTTCAAACTTTCCCGTTGGATTTTTCTCGTGTATATTTATTTGCGAAAAATTCCTGGAATAATTTTAATATCGAAACGTTTAGATATTCATATTTAAACTACGTTTATTTATTTTTGATAGAAAACAAAATTGATTTAATCTATAGCTTTGTTTTCATTTTATACAATCATCCTTTTAATGAAACAAATTACGATTAATCGAATCACCTTTCCCTCCTAAATATTTTCTTTTCTCAATTCACAAATCAACCATTCAATCGATAATAATATTTAAATCTAATTATTTGCAATGCTGTCGAGAGAGATTATGCTAATGCTCGAGAAACGTGTTTACATATGATTAAGCTTGTTAATTGTACGTAAGAATGAACGATACGATGATTCTAGTCAAATTTTGTTTTGAAAAATTGCATGTCCAATAAAAAAGAAACAAAAACAAAACAAAATGAAAGAGAACACGTTTATAATAAATTTGATTCAACGATTTGATCGTTTCTATTCAAATAAATTTTAGAAAGGTAAAAAATATAAATAATATAAAAATATAAAAATATAAATTATGTTTAGGCTTTTAAATAATAACGATCAAACTAACGATGTTTTAGATGTATTGTGTTTTAGAATATTATAAAAACAAATGTATGTCGAAATTAAATAAAAAAGACGCTGAGCTTTAATGATTAAGTTGTTGAAGAAGTCCCAATAAAGGGACGAAACGTCCAACTAAATCAAATTAAGTTCTACTTCTTTTCATGTCCAAGTTCCCTATGAAATTTTATCAGTAAAAAATAAATGTATATACGATGTGTTTGTGCGTTCTTTGTGTTGCAGGATGAGTTCCATCCATTCATTGAGGCCCTCCTACCATTCGTGAAGTCTTTCTCGTACACGTGGTTTAATCTACAAGCCGCCAAGAGGCGTTACTATAAGAAACACGAGAAACGGATGAGTCTCGAAGAGGAACGTCAGTGTAAGGAGGAGCTCCAAGTGAGTTAATTACCTTCAAACGTACCTGTTCCCCCTCGCACCCCTCTAATTTACAGACGAAACAAAATTACAAATAAAAAATGAACACAAAAAAATATAATTGATTTTACTTACGATTAAAATTAATTTAGGATTTATTCGTAAAACAAGATGGGGTTATACCCAAATAATATTCTCGTTACACAACACATGCATAACTTTTTTGGAAAGTCTGATATAAACAATATTTAATAAAAGAATTTTCATAGAGAAAAATGTGCCAGTCTGAAGGTGAATTTCGAAGAGGACGGTACACAGAACATATATTTCGTGCTTTTAAACAACAATAGACACAATTTTTTTTCGAATAATTAACAATCATTTAAGGTATTTTCAATACTCTAATGTACTCCATTAATATTTTCAATTGTTTTAATTAACAATAGGTTTGTTTTAACGTACCTGATCAGTAATGACTTCGAGGATAAAAATGTTGTCTAATAAAAATATCAGATAGAAATGATTTAATATTCCTAGTATATTTACTAGATATAAAAAATTTGAAAACAAATCTATATAAATTGTTTTCTACGAAACATCTATTATAATAAATGTAATAGTTGTACTACGATTTTATATGGGACATCAACTGTATACAGTCAAACCTCCTATAACGCTGTAAGTGCGTTCCGCGTTATATGGAAACCGCGTTATAAGAAATTGGGATTTAACCGTACAAACCAAGCTAATTCGTAGCGCGTTGTATGGAAACAGCGCTATAAGAAACACAGATTTTAGTACAAATCACATCATTCGTACCGCGTTATATGGAGACCAAAAAATACAAAAGACAAGATAAATTATAAATTATTTTTATTAAATTGAAGAGTTCATATAAGAAAAATGATTAAAAAAATGAAACAAAAAGTAAACTAAAAAACTGTTTTCCAACAAAAACAAGAAAAACTTTTGTAAAATTATGTAATCTTTCAGCACTCATCCTCGCTGTCAGATATGAGTCACCTAACTCGTCTTCTTTTATTGGRTAAAATGTCTTCCTTACTTGGTTCATCTTCGCATTGGTTTTCATTTGTAACTTCYTTTTCTAACTTCACTAAAACCTCTATATAGGGAGCTAAGCAATTTTAATTTCACTATTTTCCAATCTGTCAAAAATGGATTAGAAAAGTTGGCTTGTATAGTACATTTTTAAAGTTTGAATGATTCTTTGGTCAAAAGATTGTATTAATGACGTGCAGTTAGGAGGAAGGAAGACAATTTTCACATTTGGATGATACAGTTCTATGTTGTGGCAACCAGCGTTATCAAGAATCAATAAAACTTTGAAATACAAATTTTTGTCCATCATATAGATTTCCACTGCCGGGATAAAACAATTATAAAACCAATCCTTAAATAAATCTTGAGTCATCTAAGCTTTCTTATTAGATCGCCAGAATACAGGCAATTGTGTCTTATTAATGTTTTTCATTACACGGGGAGTTGAAGAACGATTTATTAGCATTGGTTTTATCATCAGGCTCCCTGATAGATTGCTGCACACATGAAGAGTGATACGTTCTTTTGAAGGTTTAAACCCCTGAGCACACCTTTGATTTTTCGAACTGAAGGTCCTAGATGGTAGTTTTTTCCAATATAGTGCCGTTTCATCGTCGTTAAAAATCTGATCAGGTGACTAAAGAACTTATGGGATGTTCTCGAACGGAAACCGCGCTGTAAGAGTACCGCGTTAGAGGAGGGCTGTCGCAATTTCAGCACCGCGTTATATGGAAATCGCGGTCTGCGAGTGTCGTGTTATAGGAGGTTTAACTGTATATGAATCAATTGATTATTTTCCACATGATAATACGAGTTTCACTTGTATCACGCGTGTCAAACCAACGCACGTTCCTATTTTTTTTTTCTTTTTAACATTAGGAGAAAGTACATCATTCGTCCTATCTTTCAATGCATTTAAATATTTTTCAATTGCACTAACGCGAAAGAAAATGAAAAAAAAAAAATAAAATAAGAGACAAAGATTTATCTTATGGGGGGTTTTTTTTTTTTTTTATCTCATGTATTTACCGAAAAAAAATATGTTATTTCTTTCGTTGTTTTATTTAATTAGTTTCATAGGATTACGAGAATGATCGGTAAGATCATTTACCAAAAACTCTAACGTGAAACGAGCACGTAGCGAGGCTCTCGCTAATATCGCGCGCTTAAGAATAAAAATAATCAGGTTTGAAGTTATTTTTGGCGGTAGGCGACCTCGTGACGTGCCATCGTGCTACCTCTCTCAAACTCTTTACCTCTCTCTCTCTCTCTCTCACTCTCTCTTTATCTCACATCTCAGTGTATTTTTCTTTTTGTCTTTGATTTTTTAAGCGAACCTTATCGTTAACTATATAAATCTTCTTTATATCCCGTTAAAGACAGTGACAAATATGTAAACTTCGCTAAATTTTTATGGAATTAGCGAAGTTGGGAAAGGGGGTGGCAGGAGGAGGGGAATTTAGATAAGAGATTATAGGAAAGAGACTGGGGAGGGGGTTAGGTGGTGGTTGACAATAGTTTTGGGTGGTGGTGGTAGGTGAGAGGGTGAAAAGAAGGGTAGGTAGAGGGGTGGGATGGATGGATGACTGGTTTTTGAAGATTTTTAAAACTCTCTCTCTCTCTCTCTCTCTCTCTTTTCTCATTCTTTTCTCTTTCCATCCGACGAAATCCCTGGAGCATTTGGATGGGAAGTTCTCGTTCGGTCGAGGGTTCGTTCGCGGAGTCACTGACATTCGCGTTTTCGGCTGGACCGCAATCACTTGTTTTTTTTTTTGTTTTTTTTCCTCTCTTCACTATCATTCCATCTTTCTCTCTCACTCTGTCTGTTTTTTTCTCTCGATTCGTTCACTCGTCGTCGTCGTCTGCTACTACTGCTGGTACTGGTGCTGGTACTGGTGCTGGTGCTGGTACTGGTGCTGGTACTGCTAGCGGACCCATCGAGTTTCTCTTCTATCCACCGCAATTCGTATTTCTCCCTCGCGACGGTGTTCGATCAATATTTTAATTCCGCGATGCTGCGGTATTTAGTGAACGAACGAACTGAACGAACTGAACGAAACCCAACGAAACCTAACTGAACGAATTGAACGAATTGAACGAGTCGAACGTACGAATGGAGATCATCTATCTATCTATCTATCTATCTATCTATCTATCTATCTATGTTTATGAAAGGATTCGCAGTTTAGGATCGATATTATAGCGACAGGATGATATCGTACTAAGTTCGGATAAAGAACCCACTCGAGATCCCACCACCACCACCACCATCACCCTTTCTTCTTTCTTTCTTTCTTTCTTTTTACTATTTGTATTTATTTTCTTTTTCTATTTTTCTTTCTACTACAACCAACTACCTTTCCCTCCCAATACTCATCCCCCCTCCTCCTCCAACCCTTCACCCATCTATCATCATCCCCGATTCTTTTTATCTTTTTTTTTTTTTTCCTCGTTCGTATTTTCGTTTCCAAATCTTTTGTCTTATTTTTACAATTTTTTCTCTAGCCCAAGAAACGAACAAGTGAAATACTTGCTTTCATTTTTTTTTTTTTTTTTAAAGGGGTGGATATTTTTTTTTTTGTTATTATTTCTTTCCCCCTGATGGTTATCGGAACGATCGACCAATGAAAGGTATCTCCCCCCCCCCCACACCCCCACAGTTTTCTCTTACTTGGAAGTAATTGATCGGAGGACGGACACTTTTCCGCATCCTCCTATACCCGGCTTACAATCCGATTACGAGATACTGCAGGGCTTTTAACCCTGAAACCGTTTCCACTTTCGTCGAGTCATGACGACGACGACGACGACGACGACGATGAACCGATATAGATTCGTTTAGATATCCAATGTAAGAGTATTACAACGCTTATTTGGAATATCTTCGATAATAGAATTATACTATTATTCTCTTTAAGGGGTTACATGGGTTTACATCGGGAAAAAATACCATATTTTCGACAATTTTTTTTTTCTATATCAAAAATGGAATTCTTATTCAAACTTTTTATAGCATTTAAGATACATATTTAAAGAACATTTTCTGAATTTTTGGATGAAAAATATTTTAAACTCAGCCATTGCGACGTCATTTCCGGTGACCCCACCGAAAAAAAAGTGTTTTCGCGTTGACAGCAGAACTTATGAACGGTGGGGGTTTTTCTGTTGAAAAAATAGGATCTTTTAGTGAATACTTAAAACTAGAAACTGGACGAAGGAAAAAGAACAAAATTGAAATTTGGATTTTTGGCAACGTTTTTAGCAAGAACATTCAAATTTCGTTACAATTTGCACCACATTTTGGTTTCTTAAAATTCGATTTTATGAAAAACAAACAAAAATCCTTCGTTCAAGTCCTTGTCAATAGTATCACGAAGACGTGTAGCAAATTTCATGAAAATCGGTTAAATAGTTTTCGAGAAATCTTGTCAACCGACTTTAGAAAAAGCGTTTTGAGAAAAACGCGTTGAAAGATTTGAGTGGTGGTATAAGAGCCATTAAAGAGTGCAACTTCCCAAAGCTCTATCTTTAAAACAACTACTCCTATCGACTTCAAAATTCAATACAATATTTTAGATGAGTTGTAGAATTTAAAAAGATAAAAAAAAAAAATTTTTTTGAAAGTCCCAAACCCATGTAACCTCTTAAAGAGTGGAACTTCCCAAGGTTCTATCTTTAAAACAACTACTCCTATCGACTTCAAAATTCAATACAATATTCTAGATGAGTTGTAGAATTTAAAAAGATAAAAAAAAATTTTTTTTGAAAGTCCCAAACCCATGTAACTCCTTAAATCGCGTGTACTTTTTATTACTATTATCTTCTTATCTTTCTTTTCTTTTCTTTTCTTTTCTATTTATTTTCTATAAATAAATTTGATTGCATTTTTGTTTTTTTGATAATTGAAGAAAAAATAGAAACAAAAAGCAAAACGAAATAAATGAAGGTGTAAATATTAAAGG